GGATTTTGGAAAAAAGTGAAGTACGCGAACATTAGACTACTTGACTTCCGGCAGTGTCACAGTGTCACAGGGATTTTGGAAAAAAGTGAAGTACGAGAATATTAGACTACTCGACTTCCGGCAGTGGAGGTAGAAAAGAGTAGTAGAGGACACGAATAGTAGTTTGTTCCGATGGTTGCCCGAATATGACGTAATGGTTAACCCGTCGGTGCTCCGAAAATGACGTAGATGGTTAACCCGTACACGACGATACCACCGCCCCTTGGTGGGATGGCTCGCTTCCCCTTGACTTGATATCTTTTATATAGCAAAAATTACCAAAGCACACATAAAAAAGAAAACGAAAAGAATAAATTTGAATGATAAAACAATTATTGAACTTGGTTATAGCAAAATATCGTGATTATTTAGTATCTGGCATGCAATTATTTGCCTCTGCCTTCGCCATGGCTGGAATGTTTTCTTTTAATGCGCGCGCTCCATAAATGGTTGATTCATGGTGACACAACATCTAACAATGAAACTGTTTCCCGCCAAAAGTTTCTGAGCAGACTTCTGAGATCACAACATTGCAAAATCTATGACGTCAGAGCGTAATAGTTCACTGTTACACGCGGAGAATGTTTACCGGTGATCTTTGTTGCATGTGAGCAGCACGTGATAGAAAGTGGCGTGACGAGGACTTGTGATTGTTGTCAGCATTCACTCTCTAACTGACTTGATCGTATAATGGCAGCGTCTGGCTGATTTTTCTCGCAAAAGAATTGCTGGCATAGTAGAATAAAACATTCAAAAGACACAAAATTGGAGACAAAAACTGACTTATCAGCCTTAAAAAGTAAAACTTTGTGTAAAACTATGTGTCTTTGTTGTACTTAATGACTATTCCCTTGGGAAACCAGTTAGTTTTGTTTTCGCTGAATCTCAATGTTTCCCTCGGCACGATGGCCGCCTTGGGAAACATCGAGATCACTCGGGAAACAAAACTTACTGTTTTCCTCGAGACCAGTCATTAAGCGTTAAATATTTTTCTCAAACTTGTCCAAAAAATTGCTTATCGTTCATCATTTATCAATCCTGCATGACCTAAACTACCGACAGCAGATTCACTTGATAAAGTTAATCTTGTCCTTGTCCTCCACAATGAACAGACATCAGAACCAGGAGGACACTGTACTTGGCGCTTGTGATCACAGTAAAAAACGATGCTTTTTTATATTGTTAAACAATATTTTAAAAAAATTGTTGTTTTTTTTTGCCCCCCTGCCCCCCTCGATCCGCCCCTGGATCTGCCCTTGGATCCGCCCTTGAAGTGTGGTCTCCAAGACATCTTAAGCTGAAAGCGGAGATCGAAAGAATCCAAAGAATGGATTCTCAAGACCAAGATTGGCGGGATGCCATACAAAGAGAGGTTTATGGCGCTAGACTTACTTCCTCTTTGTTACGACAGGCAAGACGAAGATTTTTTTATCCTTAATGTTCATAATTTTGTTGAATTTAACTCATGACCGTACTTATCTAAATCAAAATCCCGGCCATGTTCTCGAAGTCTCTTTTAGCAGGTCTAGCACATAGTCTATCGCTGGAATGCCATTTGTAAAACAGCCTCTCCTAGTTTTTTATCCACCCTTTCCTCAATTAGATTGCTTTCTAAGGCTGAAATACTGCGATCTCCTTAACAGTGTATTTGATAACGACTTGCCTTGCGCATGTTCACTAGTTCGCAAGCGTCCGTATCATAGATAATGGTATATTCATTTATTTTAATTTATTTTATCTAATGTGCGTCCTAAAGGGAAGTGCCTAAAATGGGACAGACAGTGCAACATAGCACGCAACAAATTTGAATCGAGGTGTCACATGTGGCAAAAAAAAAACAACAAAAACGAAACATCGCTTGTGTCCTGCTATGCTATGTAAAGACATTTGCTCAGCGGTTATAAATTTAGTACAAATTGATTGGCTGGCTGGAAATCTCAAAATGTTGCACGTAATGTTGCAGCCATGTTCACACGATGAAATTTGTTACGCGCAATGTTGCAAGAGTAGAGCACGATTCAACTTCAGATTTGTCGCTTGCAACAAGTTTCAGGCAACAGTCCTGTTGTTAAGAGTCCCGTTCGCGCTCTTCCTATAGGGTAGTTGTTCACATCCATTTTTACTGGGTTGTCTGTGGCAGCCTAGTCGTAAAATGCCTTTGTTGTTTTACTGGGTTGCCTGTGGCCTTTTTTTTTTGTTTTGTTTTGTTTTGTTTTGTTTTGTTTTGTTTTTTTGTTTGTTTTTGTTTTTTGTTTTTTTGTTTTTTTTTGTTTTTGTTTTTGTTTTTTGTTTTGGTTTGTTTTTTTGTTTTGTTTTTGTTTGTTTTTTTGTTTTTGTCTTCTCCCTCTCGCAAAAAGTGCATTCTTGCGCAAAAGTACCCGTATATGGATTTCAATGACGTGTTTATAAATTCTGGTCTCATAGATTGCTTTAGCAGCTGAGGATGTAATTCCGGGCTTTTGAGCAGTAAAAGAAGATTTCTAGGATCGTAATTCAGATATTTATTAGTATTAATACAGCTACTCAGTCGGCAGTATTCTGGCTTCAATCGCGTGGGTTAGTAGAGCTTAAATGGAAAAACGGCTTTCAGTTTCTAGTTAATAAGGCATATACATGAATGTATCGTTAAATACTACGCGGCAATAGAACTGGTAAATTTCGCCGTAAATACTTTTCGCTAAGTTTTGAATCCTTTTACTAACCGATATCTAAAAATGAAGAATATAATCAATAATGGAGAGATCGAGAACTACAGAACGGTTATTGAAAAGCAAATAACCGAACATTTTAAACATATTTCTAAACAAATTTATGTCGCTTATTTGGCCTACACACGGTTGTTGAAATAAATACAGTCCTTTGACTGAAAATTGTCGTCTGATCGGATCATCCCTACGCGGTGTTCTCTATCAGTTGGTGACAATCGCACAATGGAGAGCAAAATGCACATTTGCCTTCGCGTTTTACGCAAGTAAAACAAGAGCCGCTTCACATCATATTCCATCAAGGATGTCCCAAATTATTCTTATTTATGCATGTACCTTATAGCTATTACCCAATAAAGTTGTAAAAAAAAAGTTTACAGGAAAACATCGGAAGTGACGTCACCGACATCTTCACGTGTGAGGATGGAAAATATGTCACTGAGGTCCCGAATGTAATTCGTATGAAAAGAGGTCAAATGAGACGCCATCTTGGTTTGCTGTGGAAGCCATTGAGAAATATTCACGCTTGAGTCGCTCTTATTTTAGTAGGTTTAAAAATGGCTACTTCTCTAGTAAATCTCAAGAAGGACGTCGAATGTTTCTTGTGTAATGATAGTCTTACTGAACCAAAGATTCTTCCATGTTTCCATACCTTTTGTAGGCCTTGCATAAAAAGACATGCTGAGCTAATCGAGGAAGTCAACGTCTTCAAGTGTCCTAAATGTAAATCACAAACTCCACTACCAGAACTGAACAGCGTGGAAGATTTAAAATCTAGTGTTCTACATTCAAGAATTTTGAAAATTCTAGAATTCATAGAAGGAGAGAAGATTTGTTCTGTTTCTGAGAGTCATTCAACAGCGACGCAACATTGTTTTGACTGTGATCGCTCATTGTGTGACGAATGCCTGAAGTATCATTCCCTCTTGATGAACAACCACAAGATCATGTCTCTTGGTCAATCGGAATCAAAGGAAAAAATCATTGAGCTATTGTTAAGCAGAGAAAAGAATTGTCTGTCTCACTTGGAGAAAACATTGGATCTTTACTGCAATGATTGTAAGCAAAATATCTGTTTGGAATGCTGGATGCAGGATCACGATGGGCATTCAACCGTCTCACTAGGAAAACACCTGTCAACAAAGAAGGCAGTCCTCCTCAAACATGTTGAACAGTTAAAGTTGCAAGAAAAACAAATTCAAGAGCAAGTAAAATTCATGAATGACGCAGCTTCTAAAATCAAAGAAAGCTGCGACAAAGCGAAGGCGGAAGTAACAGAAACACTGGAAAGAACAATCAAAGAATTAGAGCAAAATGCACAGCAGATATTAAGTAAACTCGACAAAGAAATCGAAGACGCCAAGCTAAAGGAAATCAAAGGTCAAAGTACCCTTGAGCAGGCTAGAGGAGCGATTGACTACGCAAGTACTCTTCTGGAAAAAGGCTTTACAAGTGAGTTGATTGGCGAGGGGGATGATGTAGGAATCTATGATAAATCTTTTGAAATTCTAAACTTCGATGGAGATGATAATTTAGTTGTGTTTGATCCAAGCAAAGAGTTGATAAAGCAAGCAAGTTTAGGTCTTGGTTCAATTCGAAAAGTTGATCAAACGGAGCAAGATCTCGGTCTGTTAAATTTTTTAAGCAGCGTAAAAGTCGAAGCTAAAAAACCCGGGCATCCTGAAGCTGCAAAGCCACAACAAATGTCGGCCAAGATAAAGCAATTTGACTTGAAAGGAATGTATCGTTTCACTGGTATAGCGGTAAATAAAGAAAACACAAAGATAACTTTTGCAGATTCTTTAAACAACCGTGTTTTTGTGTTCGACATGATTGGAAACCTTTTAATCATTTTTTATAGTCATTTTTGTGATCCTCAAGGGTTGGCATTTCTAAATAAAGAAGATTTAGTCATTGCAGATTGTGATAACCACAGAATATGCATAGTGAACACTACATCAGGAACTGTGCAGGGTACTATCGGGAAAAGGGGCAATAGAAAAACTGAGTTTATAAATCCATGTCATGTACATGTTGATTCTAATTACAACATCATTGTCAGTGATCTTGGAAATAATCGGGTTCAAGTCTTCAGTAAGGAATGGAAGTTTCAGTATCAGTTTGGTCAGGTGAATAATATTCATCCATGTGGAACGATTTCACACAATGGACAATATTATGTAAGTGATTCTTATAGCAACGTTGTTCATGTATTTGCAATCAATAAGTCGAAAGACCGGGGCTTTAAACCAGTAAGAATATCAGTGATCAATGGACAAGATAGTACCGAAGGCGTGCTCCGTGAACCATGTGGCCTGGCTATCGACAGCGAAGAGAATCTACTTGTCTGTGATAGAGGAAATAACCGCATTCAAAAATTTACATTGGATGGATTATCTTTAGGATATCTGGACTGCAGTGGAATTTTTGATGTAGCAGTTTTGAAAGATGGTAGTGTTTTGGTTAGTTGCAATCAGTTAGGAGTATTCATAATTCAAGACATGTGACCATGAAATATATTAAAAGCCTCGACTGGCGTCACTCATCCAAAAGAACATTTTATCAGCTGAAATGTAATCTTTTCGTGTCATTCCCAAGAGTATCATTTGTTTGTTTAACTATTGCGCATGACTACACACTACTTTGACAATGTGATGACGCCATTTTATCGTCCATAAGAGGACAGACACATAAAAGACTAATGTCAGTTTGTTAATTTTTGTTGTTGAAAACACAAGAAAACATGAGCAAATAGGGTAGAGTGCGCGCAGCAAGCGTGTGAAAAAAAATAACACCAAAGAGTGCTCATGTTGGGACGCGGGAATTCTTTTTCTTAGTCCATTTTCTCTTCTATAGGTAGTACGTTGAAGAGCAGTAGTATACGGAACAATACCTTTGGCTTAAAAAATCGAAATTTTCCAGACTGATAAAGAGAGAGATAGAAATAGAGAGAGCAAACATTGTAAAAGAACCATTTAGCGACAGAGAAAAATATGCTAATAATAGAAAAAATGCCTAATATACGTCCTTACTTATAAGACACGATCTGATCCATTCTGAAGTGTGTCTTACATAATATGTATAAACGGTTGGTATTTCATTCGGGGACTTATCTCGGTTTGTGTGGGCTCCCTGTGTTAATATGCGCCGATGCTCACATTGTGTTCTCATCTCAGCTAAGACCCGATAGGCCGTATACAAATATATGTTTGCATGTCATTTAAGGCGTAGCTTAACTTAGAACAGCCCAGACTTGAAATGCAGCGAATTACCTCCAAGAAACATTTGCCTACGATGTTTCATTTGAAGCTTTTGAATGCGCTGACGTCATTTAGACCGGCAAGTCTGTTTTTCGCTTGCGTAGTTGATGATATTGCATCATTTTCTATCCGTTATCTGTGTAAGGATAATTTTAGTGTGGAAGGGCGAAAACAATTTTCAAACGATAGTGTAGAAGCGAAGTTTTCGATACGATTTCGGTGAGATAAAAACGATATGTTTAACGAGCTTTAGCGGATAATATGAAAGATATGAGTGAATCATCTTGAACCATTGTTTACAAAGAAATTATAGTTCAATTTTACTGACGATTCGGACCCTAAAAGTAACGGATAATGAAGATGATAAGTCATGGGCTTATTCAATTTGTAACGTAAATAGTTATTTGGGTAATATGGAAACGTTTTGGTCAAGAAAGATAACGCTTACGACAGACCTTTTAGTGACGTCATTAAAATAGAAATCATTCAAGTCAAGGTATCTCTCAAGCGCTTGCGCAAATAAATTATATGGATCAACCTTTAGTAAGTTCGTGTTTTGTGTTATGAAACGTACACATACTTGATGAATGTACCGATAGAGTGACCACAGTAAATCCGTGAAACACTAATTAGTACAAAACAGTGCTAGTTAAACCATAGGAAACAATGGAATTTGCATGAAACTGTGCTATTTAGTATTACTAAAGTTTCACGGATTTACTGTGGTTACTCTACTGTAAAAATTCTTTCTTTAGGGAGTATGGATTTTGGATTATTTTTAATAATTTTTGATAATTAACCAGGACCATACTTCCAGACATCGAGTGCTGAACCGTCGTATGGACTTACGGCTACGCTGGAGATTTCGGCCCCAACACCGCTATCCCGGGGGAATTACAGACTGATCAGGAAGCTCGGCCGAAGCCTAAGGGAGAGGTTAGTCGGCCCCTAGACCGTAGATGATTAACCCCTTGCTATGACCAGCAGACCAAATACCTCGATTGTATCGCTGATGACTAACCTCCCTTGCTCACTACTTTCCATGTGGGATGCGTTTTGGAAAACTAACCGTAATGTATTTAAGGAATGTAAAAAATGTACAGCACAATAAAACCTGAAAGCACATGGACACGAGGCGTAGCAGAGTATTTTTCTTGCTTTTCGGGGCTTGACTCAGTTTCCTGACTCTTTCAAAGCATAAGTTTACCCTCCACAGGACCATGACTATGATATTTGTCAAGTTAAAAACGTATTTTCCACAAAATGTACTAGTGGCTAAACAATTGTGTTTAAGCATGTTTCACGTTCTTCATCTCATTTGATATCTTGCATCTCATTAGGTATCTGTATAAATGTATACTACAACCTTTCTGCAATCAAGCTTAAACTCTTCCTCTCTTGACCCTTGTGTTTGTGCTTGTTGCGTTTGGTCAGGATAGTCATGTATGTGGACCAAGTACGAGTAGGTAAGAGAAAGTAAAACTAACTGTATACACCATTGAACAAGACGCTGTGAGAGCGTATACTGGGTTGCCTGGCGGGTGGAAGAGCTGCGAAACGTCAGAGCGCTGTTATGTTAGTACATCGCCTGCTGGAATAAATACGAAACAGATGATGTGGGATACCTACCGAAATGTGGTGTAATGCGCATGCTCGAATTTAAATAATAGCTAGAGCATGCGAAGTAGAGGATGGTGGGGTTTAATAAAAGACATGGGGTGCGTTACGCAATTTTGAACTTCTTAAAGACGTTCATGGGCTTTGTTTGTGCGCATCCCTTCTACGCATGATCAATTGGAGAGCGCGCGCTTATCGTGATGACGTCATTCCAACGTTTCAATAAGTAAAATCTCATAAAATATAACGTCTGTAATCTCTTATAGCTCTAAAAACGAAGTTGGATACCTCCTTTCTTATTTTCATTCTTTGAAAATACTTGGTAATACCTAACTTTAGAGAAAAAAATGTTAACAATCTGACGATCGGATCAAATCGAAACAATATCCCAAATTGACTCACCACTTAAAGAAAGGAAAGGAAAAGGAAAGGAAAGAGAAGGAAAGGAAAGGAAAAAAGACAACGGAAAAAGAAAAGAAAGGAAAGGAAGGGAAAGGATACGAAGGAACGAAAGTCAACGTATCTAACTTATCGACTCATGTGAGAATGTGACGCATTTCCGGGTCGAGTTGGGAATAAGTGATTCAGTTATGTGTTTCTGGTACAAGGCATTCGATTAAAAGCAAAAAATGCCACTTATAATTTATTACCAATCTGCAACAATCATAATTTTAAGCTTAAAATGTTTTGAAACAGGAAATTTCATAAGCAAATATTATATATTTTGCTCCCGGACATGGATTGACGGAATGACGCAACTTGTACTGGATGGGTTGCCTGTGTCCCGGGCATAAAGCACAGGTAACCCATACCTATTTCCTGTTCACAAACAATGATATCGTTCGTTTGGCCAACTTGTCTGATGCAGGCAGCATATATCGCATCCATACTTCAGCCATCAGAGAAATTTGCTCGAAATGTTATAAGGAAGAAGAGGTTGAGCATTGGATTGAACGGCAAAGCGAAAATCGCTATGTTGATTTTATAGAAAAAGGTGACATTTTGGTGGCTGAAGATGGAGAGGGTAGAGTACTAGGATTTGGACATTTGTCCGACAACGAGGAAGAATGTTCAAGAGGAAATTCGACTACTGATATGAAACAAGGTGTGTGTTTTATTAGAAAAGATTCAAATATTGTTATTTGATCGCAGGAAAGTGGAGGGATAGCGTTGAATCGACATCCCTTCCCCCTCGGGATTTTCTTTACTAAAAGCTAAAAATCAGGAAAACCAGAAACTATAATTTAAGGAACTGGGGGGATTGAGGAGAGTAGGTTGATTTCCTTGGGGAGGGAGTGTTCGGGGGGAGGGGAGGGG